GTCAATGTTAAAATCATCGGGACAGTTATAGTGAAATTTGACATAAACCTTAGTCTTAACTACTATTATGGTGCTATCGAGGATAAATAAATATTACTGTGATTTTATATATTATTTAGACTTAATAAATAGTGCAAAATATTGTTTATAGTTATAGTTCTTAGTGGCTACTCTTTATGTAAATTATGTTTAATTTTTAATTGAACCCGAAAAAGAGAAAGATTTTCATTAAATGCGTTTTTTTTAAATCACTCAAACTTGGTCTTAACAAATTAAATAAAAAAAATATTATCTATACTATAGATAGAAAACATTGTATTATTTTTATGTTTGTTTGCATCGCATTGGCTTCCAAAGTACTAGACTGATTTTAGAATTTCTTTCACCTACGGGTAGCTACATAATATGGGGTTAGCATAGGCTATATAATATACGCCTAACAGCTAGTCTCTTGAAATGAAAAATGACTACTATATGTAGTCATTTAGTAGCGGCCTCGAAAATTGGAATCATCACTGATAAAATAGAAAAAAAGTCACATTATAAACCAAAAAAGCTTTAGAAATAGATTTAAGTGAACCGCGAATATCTACGGTAGTATATTGAATTAAAGGACAATGTCCAAATTAGCCTATGAACCTCTAAGAATATCTTGTATATCATAATTCTTATCATATTTTATGATTAATATATCAGCTTTTAAAATCAAACGGACACTGCCCATTTTTGTAATTACTTTAAAAAGTAATATTAATACATTTGATAAACTTCAATAAACGCTGCCACCATATTTTAATAAGTTGACAAATCAGGATCTATGCACAATTTGATGTATAATCAACCAATGAACACTTAAAGCGCTTGACATTGAAACGAGACTCAAAACGTTCGTAGATTTTTAAGCGGCTGGAAGCGCTCTTTTACATGCGTTTGACAATTTTGAACTTTTGAAGTTTTGTTTGACAATCGCTTTCATACTCGCGTTGTGTTTACGTCGCTTGAGTTTGTTTGTACGATTTCTTGTGTCTTGTGAATATTAGTTATAAAATAACGACTTGGCTTGAACTAAGGACTGATTTCGTCTTATAATATCGACCTCCGGCAGTGATTTACGGCATACCGACCTACTATAGACGACGACTTGGCATTTATTTAACGGACATTAACATGGAATCTGGGTGTGTTGAAGTATTTTGTGTTAATTGCGGTTCAGCTTCTGGTTGCATGGTATTAGAAGATGAGCAGATCCTTCAGTGCATACAACACTGGGTTGCTCCAAGATTGGTAAGTACATGCTCCCGATAAAGAACCTACAGAACCTTTTAAAGCAAACAACAACAATCAACATTTAAAGTAAAGTAGACATACATTTCCCTACAAAAAGCAAGTAAAACGAACATTAAAAAGAATCTAACCGCACGCTACAATTGTTAAGTTATAACCTCAAATCCAAAATATATTTTTTGATTTATACATTTCTTAGAAGTGTCCGTTACTTAAACATGTATTTAGACGTAAATATAGATACTTTAGAACACGAAAAGTGATGGTACATGCTTAGAGGTTCTTAGGCGAAAAATGTATGGGGGCTGGACATTGTCCTTTATACCAGAATAATTATTACTTCATAAGGAATAAAGACTTCATAATTTTGAACTACAAATTTATTATCCTTTTTCAATAAAAAGATAAATATAACTGCAAAATTAGTACATAACACGATACGACCGTTCGAGTTCAGTTCGTTCGGCAGTCTAAGAGTTCTCTTGTATATGTGTGTAGGCTTCTTAAGCAAAACGCTTATTGCTATTAATGCTATAAGTATTTCTACCGACACGAGTATTATATACTAATAAAAGTCTTTGACGACGCAATTCCACGTGTGAAGTAAATTTTCATCCCCATTCTTGTAATTTCAAGGGTTGCTAACTGTGTAACGAACCTATTCCGTCGAGAGTCATATTTAGCCTCAGTCAAACAATGTACGCTCTTCTGAGACTTGAGATGGTTAAAATATGTTTATCTATACACGAGTGTTTACCTTTAAACATTTTGAGAATGGTTATGCCTCATTTTACCTGCTTAATCTTACAGAATAAAGAAGTCCGTCTAGCGCGTACGACCTCGCGCAAAAAGAGTTCATTAGATTTTAACTTAGTAATAGGGTTCCCGTTTTACCCTTTGGATACGAAACCCAGAAAACTCAATCACATTTTTCTTTTAGTTTGTCTAATGTTTAATATTAGAATGATAGTTAAGAATTGTGAATTAAATCTGACGCTATTGCAAGCGCCATGATCTCGGAGTAACCGAAGTCTTGCCTCTGGGTGTTAGTGGCATATTATCCGTCTCACTCTTTTTAGTTCTTTTACGTTAATTATATAAGTTACCGATGCTATGTCCTACAGACAGATAATTTTTATTATTACAGTAGTACGTTCTATTTTGGTAATTTAAAGTTCGTTAGTTCTGATAAAAAACAAAAGAAAGAAGTGAACATAATATATAATAACTTTCATTAAAAAGTAAAAAAGAAAAAACAAGCCTAGTAGTTAAAATGGTAAAAAGCTGGTAAGTTTCTCTTTTTCTACTTGTCAAGCAAAAGTCGTCCTTAATGAGTGGTAGTGAAAAAAAATGAACGATTCAAAAGTACTTGTAATAAGCTTGATTGAATATATATTTTTTTCATTATCATCATTCAATTTTAAGATTTATTCTGCTATTTATCTTTTTTTTTTTTGTGATTGCTTAGTTAGGTTTTATAACATAATTAAAACAAAATCTTATTTATGTCAAAAAACTAATATTGAAAGTGGTTGTATCTGGTTACATCAAATATTAGCCCTCACAACGTGGCGCATCGTCGCCAATAGATTGGTACTCGATTTCATACATTTACTAGGTATACGACACGGGTCCAATATAATAATTCCAATACTAAAATAAACGCCACTGTAGTAGCTAATCGCGTTGCTAAATAGTTGTTACGTTACTTTATGGAAATCTTTTTAATTTTTTAGTTATGCTATCGAGTCCTTTTATTGCCTTTAACTCAAATACATTTTTTATTATCATTATTTTTTATCATTAACTTGTCGAACTTTGAAGTTATTGATATGCCAATTGAGTTATAAAAATAGTAAATACTAAAAAACTATCCCAAACTAAGCAAAAGACTATCGCAATTTTAACCTTAAATGTAAAATAAATCTATCAAGAGTATTCAAATCGAAAAAGCTCGTTAACTAAGATTGGAACCCAACATAGAAAAATGTTGACATAATTACCTTTATGGTAAGAGAATACCAAATACAAAAGGCCATATTTTAACTTTTATTCTTTTAATCGGTAGCTTCTTCCATGCACATATCAATTTATGGCCAATAAAGATATATCCAGTTGGTTATTTCATCTCAATTTCAATAAATATATCTTCCAATGGTTTATTGACATAACAGATGGTATGGCAGTGCGAAGTGCTAACATATAGAGTAATAAATTAAGGTAGTGGCACACTTAAATGGCACGGCTCCAACCCAGTGATAAAACTGTCATTTAAATTTGACCATTAAGTCGTATATATAATATATTTCATAAAATCTATAAAAAAGTAAATGATCGATGGCCAAATTCAAGTTATTAGGCGGCCCGGTACATTTCAAGCCTGCTTAGAGTCCCCACAGACTGCAGACATTCTGCTTGCTTTTTAATTAGTATAAAAAGATATGCAAGTGTGCACATTACAGAGATTCGGTATCGGCCAACAAAAAGTTCGAAGGGTTCGACAATAGCCTTCTAACTAAATTATCGTCGAACTGTCGGTCAACCGCTTTACCAGTGTTACGGTGTTTCCCCGCCCGCACACTTGCCATCGACTGACTGTTGTTTAGTTGGTCTGCGAACTTAAGTCTAACCCAACTGTTTAATTGACCCAGTGTGCGTACTAGCAGATCAACTCGACTAAACTCTAGGCTGATGCGAAATTTGTAGTCTGGGTTGCAGCTGCCCGCCAAGCGCAAGTAATTACTTATCTCGACTATAGATACGCGTGTTAGTGTTTGCAAACCGCGATATCCGCTTTTAAGGTTTCACCTCGTGAGCAACGCGTAGTTAATTAGCGGCGATCAAAATTCGAGACTATCCCATGCTGCTGCAGAACTGCATGTGCATTGACCTTTATGCTTTACCAAACATCAAAAGAAAGGTTAGCGATTAAATTATTTTCAAGCAATGAGCGTTCAAGTTATTTGCCTTAGGAGAAAATCGAAACGTTTATTCCAAAGTAATGCTTTAGGTAGTTAATTTTGTGATACTGTCTAATATTCACATTGTATTTCGTGACCAATCAAATGGAAGGCCTAATTGTAAATTATGTTTTAATTATAAATTATATTTTGGAAATAGAAGACAAAAATTTAACATTACTCCCCTAATATCCAAAACCAGCCTAAAATTTTGAAACTAACAGATTACAGAAAAACCTATGATGAGCGTGTTTTAAAATTTAATATACGTGCAAAACCTCTGCACACGAGTCTAAATCACTAATGGCCAGTTTTTATTTCTAGATCCAGGCAGCATTAATGATGCAAAAAGTTAAATTTCATTTTGATTATAGGAAGCCATTTGTTAACTGCTTTTCAATTTTTGGAGTAAAAACTGGTGGTATAATAGCTGATTTTTTTTTAAACGAAAGTGCTTTTTCAAAATATAAATATAATTTCCACGAGATATAATAATATTCAATACAATATACAGCAAAAAAATATAAAGAAAAATTGTAAAAAAATTACCAGTCCTGGGTTGCTAAGATAACTAAACGAGGGCGATGTAGTTCATAAGTCTTTTCTTTAAATATACTATTTAATAAACAAAGGTACAATGTTTTTTATCAGCAAATAAAAAGCTGAATAAAAGTCTAGTAACGTTAACTAAATTACAATTCGTTTGAAAACTTAGAAAATTATTCAAGTTGATATATACAAATAATAAATACTTACTTGTCTCGCACCAGTCTCAGCCAGGTCCACTTTATTGCCAACCACCACAATCGGTACAGCCGTACTCTCTTTTGTTTCATGTATTTGATCCCTCAAAGCCCTCACTTCCGAGAAACTATCAGCATCCGTTATATCGTATACGAGAATGAACGCGTCCGCCGACTGCATAGAAAGCGTTCTCATAGCCGGGAACTCATATGAACCTGACGTGTCTAAAATATCTAAAGTTAATCTCACTCCGGACACATTAAAATCTCCATGGTGCATTTCTTCGATAGTCCTTTTGTATTTTGGTGAGAATGTGTTGTACAAGAACTGTGATATGAGGGAGGATTTGCCAACTTTTGCAGCACCCAGTACGACAATTTTGTGTCGCACTACGCTATTGCTATTCAGGTTTCCGCTACTCGATACTGTGTCTTCTGTCCTTTCAGTTCTGTAACAAATGGGTTTGTATTAGTCTCAGATCCGTAGAAAGTTTTATGGAAAATTGACTTATTTATTTTTCACTTTCAAATTTATCGTTATAAAATGTTTTTTTCTGTGTTTGTAACTTCGATAATTCGATTATAGCACTATAGTTTGTTGAGGTTTTAGTTGTTATAAGGATTATATAATTTCCTTTGGTAAGTAACTACTGTATTACTATAATACAATTTTATTTGTCATTTAATTGATTTTTTTTAACACAATTTATTACCGAATACCCTAATTATCAACAAAATATTACTCATAACCCAATTTTATGAGTAATATTTTGTTAGTTGATTTCCAGTAGTTCTCCTTATTACGACGGTAGACTGAAGTAATTAAACTTTTTCTATATCAACCAATTTCGATGACCAATAAACTAATATTACCAAATAAGTAGTCTAATAACGTACTTTATCACTACTTAGTATCGCTGTACGTTGCTCGTGAGAAATGGGTTTTAATAATGTTTATATTTATTCGAGTAGCATACTAATTGATAATCGAAACTTTACTATGGAATTCGATAAATAGTATTTATATCAAAGTATTTTGATATTGTTTTTATGTACATATCTTTTAATTACGTTTTATTACATGTTGTTAACTGTTTCCATCTATCCTTTCAGTTAAATGAAATTAAATGAAATTCTGTCGGGGTGGTAGAGAGAAAACATGGATTTATATGTATTAAAATTTTAATTAATGACATTGAACGTCATCTCTTCAGAATTAGTAGAAACCGTTAACAATTAAAAAGATCTTATCATTATAATAAAGTGAAGTCCTCTAACATTTCAATCACCCAAGCCTTTTTTTAAATTTAATAGAAGATAATTGAAGAGTTTTTCTACAATAATTCAAAGTCAAGCCTATGAAGAAATTTTTCTAAGAGCGTTTATTAATTTCAATAAAATTTGGCTTACAAAAAATAAGGGATATAAGTGTCTCATATTTTACTTTTAAACAGCATGCAATAACTTAAAATTAACTATTTGTATGTACTTAATATATATATATCATTTAATTAAAGTGTAATATCTCTTATTCTGGTGAGTAGTTCGGTGGCGTAGTGGATAAGCGCCGCGGCCCACGATCGTAGTCGTTAAGCAACTTTCGCAAGGGTCGGTCACGGGATGGGTGACCAAAAAATTATTATCTCGAGCTACTCCGTGCTTCGGAAGGCACGTTAAGCCGTTGGTCCCGGCTGCATTTGCAGTCGTTAATACCCTCCAATCCGCATTGGGCCAGCGTGGAGGGTCATGGCCCATTCTCCTTAACCATCCATTAGGAAGGCCTGAGCCCCTGTAGTGGGGACGTAAAAGGGCTGGTGATCTCTTATTCAAAAAATCATTTGCTGCATAAAATATTTATTAACTCACCATATTTTCAACCGTGATTTAAATTATTTTTTATGGCAACATTTTTAGTTCATCCGCTATGTTATTAAATATCTTTATTGACATCACATATAAGTTTCTCTTGTAATTCGATTTTATAAAGACACATATTTCGTGAATTTTTTAAGCATTTTGTATTAAAAATATGTTTTCAGTATGGCATTGTGATTGCAAATTAATCAAAATGTACAAACTTGGTACAGTAAGTATTTTTAGAGATCTGAATTAAGGTTTACAATACAGCCAAGAGTCCACATCAACCCCATATTACTATGCCGAACCTGTAATTGCTGCTAGAATCTTCCTTCTAAAGATCGTTTCGATTATTCTTTCAAATAAAACATAAATGTATCAAGACTTTTTTACTAAAATACATCCTATTTGCAGAGTTATCATATTATTAGGCTCATCTAATAATTTTATAAATGGCTGTACGTCAGTCTCCACGATTTTCCAAATTTCTCCAGCTAATTTTAAAAACAAGAGGATAAATTTGACAGTTATAGCTGTTAGTTAAAAACTTATCGCATGTAATAAAACATAGGCATGTAAACGAGTAAGTAGGCACACAACATGAGGGTATAGATAAGCGTATATGAAACGCTGTAGCTATTGAGTTACTATGTAAATTTTCAGTGCTTTATCTGGATGAAACATAAGCGAATACCATTAAACTAAGCGACCAATTTAAGGAAACGGGCACTTGCGAATTAATGTTTGTGATATTTAATTTTATAGAATATACCATAGAAATATATCATAATTAGCTGACCCGACAGACGTTGTCCTGACTTAATTATGAATATTGAATTCGTACAGTTTTTTACTTCTTATCTGACGATATTTGCAGTACGCATTCTGATAATTCTATATCAAATGTCAAGAGGCTACATAAAGTGATTAAATATTCTTAAATTTTCAAACGAAACAGATGTTCTTATTTTTTTCTTTTATAAGAACTTTCTCCTTACAAACGCAGCAAAAAAATAATATCATTCTTAATACAAATTCCTGGAAAAATCCATTTGGTCCCTTTAGCAATCCGGGCGACTGCTCTTACCACTGAGCTACCCAGGCAAAAAAAAAGCGAAAAGTACCAAGTGCTTGAAAGATTCGTCAGTCCTGTTAGGTCCTGGGGAGCTCAGTGGTTAGAGCAGTCGCTCGGATTGCGAAAGGTCGTGGGTTCGATTCCCATCTCAGGGTGGCAGGGACTTTTAATGGTGGCAGGGATTTGTAATAAGAAAAAATTTCAGTATGGCATTGTGAATGCATAATAAATCAAAATATAAAAAAATAAATTGCGAAATCGATCCAGCCGTTTACGTGTGATGGTGTGACCAAGGGAAACAGAGATCTGTTCTTAGGATATCATATATTTTAGTGACTAGAAAAACTATATAAAAACTTTAAACCGGCCAAGTGTGAGTCGGTCTTGCGCACGAGGGGCTGGGTACCGGAAACGGGCCCAGCCCCTCGTGCTCGTGTTAGTATTTGTTATTGGAGCGGCAGTAGAAACACATCATCTGTGAAAATTTGAACTATCTTACTTTCATGGTTCATGATATACAGCCTGGTGGCAGACAGACAGACGTCAGCGAAGTCTTAGTAATAGGTACGGAACTCTAAAAAACTGGATCGCTGTTCGGGATTCGAATCCGGACGTTTTGAAAAATAAAACATTCATTATTACTAATTAGATACCGATTATATAGGTTTTAAACAATTAGTGCTACCATGAAACATAATTTCTAAGTGAACGATGTGATGGAAGAGAAAATAAGATAGAAAAATAAGGTTTTCATTTCGAACTCCTACTAAAATTTATTAAAGGATATGAAAAACAAAGCGTTTCATTTCATATAGAAATAATGTAAGTTTTGCGATCTGAGAACTTTTCAATGTATTATTGCAGTTTTTAGTATCACTATATAATAAATAATAGGATAACATGGTTCATAAAAACAATTCTTATAGTTTCAGACTTTCTTATACTGACCGCTCCAAATATTAACCCTCTAAAATATTTTATACTAATCCACTCCGAAAGTGTATCATTCCGAAAGTGTATTATAAATCTGAAAACAGGGATAAAAATTGCTCATTATTCTGACGTAAACATTAGGCTAATAATTTCTATATATATAAAATTCTCGTGTCACAATTTTTACTCCCGTACTCCTCCGAAACGGCTTGACCGATTATCATGAAATTTTGTGAGCATATTGAGTAGGTCTGAGAATCGGCCAACATCAATTTTTCATACCCCTTAGTGATAAGGGTTGCGGGAAACCAACTTCCACGCGGACGAAGTCGCGGGCGGCCACTAGTATTGTAAAAAATACATTAATCTCAATAAATAATCTTTTCCTGTTTATTATAAAAAGTATATTGCATGAAAATCCTTTACCGGGGTTTTTTTTTAGAACGCAATACTGTATGTTGACCCTTAATCTTTAGCTTGTTGCGAAAAGTAAATAAGGTTTCATATTCTCAATACATATAGTGGTTTTACACTGATCTGCGCCGACGTTTCGGTCGGGTTGCACCGGTAGTCACAACGAGACCACGGTCGGTGCAACCAGGCCAAAACTTCGGCGCAGGTCAGTGTAAAATCGCGTCTAATACCCGGTATTATAAGTATTTAACAACGCAGCACAATAGTTTAAAAGTGAATATAGTGGTTTGGTGACTGATGTAGCCGATATCTACATTTTTTACAATGAAAAAATTAAAATACTGAATTTGCCCTCGTAGGTGTAGTATAATTTATTATTTATATCGTATATTCCTCAGAGAAGTATGTAGTAATTACTTCAATCAAGCAGTATAAAACTAGAGTTTGTACTGTACACTCGTTAAGTAATACATATCTTACTCCCTGTGTAGAACAACAATAATGATATTGGACCCGCAAAATGTATATTTTATAACAGATACTTTAAATAATAAATATTATCTGAGCTTTAACTAAAAATTACGGATTAAATCAACTAAGTATATACGCAAATTACGTAAAGGCAAATAAAATTAATCGGTTCAGGCAATGACAGGCAGTCGACACGATTTCAATTTTTTCACTTCTCAAAATCAGCATGGAAGTTTAATAATATGGAGATTTGTCTTGTATTTTCACAAACTATATGTAATTTTTTATTTTTATTAATGTTAAAAGAATTACGTGGAAAAGCTTATTGGTGCAGAGGCTAATGAGTTCAGCCCACTATCGCGGAAGTTTACCAAGATTTAGATGGGTGACCAAAGTCTAATTAGAATTAGTTCCTACGTACTCCACAAGAGACGTTAAGCGTTGGAATACTCATCGAACTGCAAAGATAAAATGGTCCATTTACGTTAAGTTTCTTTTCATGAATAAGGCCAGACGCTAATAGGATTATTTTCAGATATAAATAATCAATTAATGAGGTTAGTCAACTTTACATCTCTCATAATGGTTCTCCAGTTTTTTCTCATGTACCACAAATGTGGCTGGGTGTTATAAGTTTACGAGTCACATATATATATATATATATATATATATATATATATATATATATATATATATATA